ACCGGAAATCTGCTGTAGAGCTGATCCGCCAGGTAAGATCGGTGAGCCTCCTTCACTGGTACGTTCGTGCTCCAACATGGGGATGGTACCTGCAAAAGAGACTCCGATGCTAAAATTAGGGTTTGTATGAGTATATGTCTCATATAAGTAATGCACGTACCTTGGTATGATTTTGGGTTGCCTTGGGCCTTGGGCTTGAGATAAGATATAACATGATTAGCTAACGGATCTTGTCCGGGGCGAGATCCTTGGGAATCAGTTGTGATTCACTTAAATGCCGAGCTGATGCCACGCGGTGCGCGTCCGAGGTCGGCTTGCGTTGTGGTGCCGAGCTCGGAGCTCGACTTCGCGGTACGGATAGTACAATTTTCATTGACAAAAAATATCATTAAATTATCATAAAAGGTAGAGATATTACTTTGTATCAAAATCTATGTAGAAGTATCAACTATAATTGACTTTATTGTTGAGTTCAACTACTTGATATGCAAATTTATCGTTAAATGGTAGTTGAAAAATCAATCAACTCCTATATATTTAACAAGAATCTCTATCTTACGTAAAAGTGTTTTTAAAGACTTTTTCTTAATGGTAGAGTTTGTAGAGATTTTTTTAAATTTTTATCTAATTCGATTTTTATTTATCATAATTATTTATAAATTAAATAATAATACTTTTAAAATAAATCATCAAAAAATAAAGATAAAAATTTGTTACAATACAAATTATTTATCATAAATCTAAAATATAATTTATATATTTAAAATATTTATACATATAAAAATACATATACTCATACTCTTTAATAAAGATAAACAATAAAAAATTAATACCTTATAAAAATTATAAAATATTTTATAAAAGAAACCTACTAATCATTTTAAAATTGTACTTTTTAATAAGAATTAAAGAGAATAACACATCTAAATCCAACTTTAATTTGAGACAATGGAGTTTGGTTATTACAGTAATGACATGACAAGTCACTACACTTGTTATGGAACAATTGCAACGTAGCGGAAAGATAACAACATACATCAAAAACAAAGTTTTTACTACCATTAGTGATTAATATCCTGTACACACCAATTATATACAAAATATAGTACATAGAATAAAATAAATCTAAGTGTTGGTTGACATCTATACAAATCATAACTACATCAAGTAGCCATCAACTTAATCTAGTCACTTTTAGTGTGACTATCCTCCAAATTGTACAGGCCATCCTGCTAATCATACATTACTCGCATACTAAGTATGATCATTGCAATTTCAACTGCAAGAAAAATACAAGGTAAACTAATGAAAAAAATTCAGCATACAACTTATAAAAACATTTTTGTATTAAAATATTTCGTCTTACAATAGGGTAACATCATAATCATCATATCAACTAGACGTCACACATCATATTCATCACATTAACTAATTTACAATATGGCATCATTAACATAACAACTAATCAACTCACAACATATTCATCACATCAACATACATATATTTATATCATTTGATGCGTCGTTATGCATATCAACTATGGAGATTTTCTACATCTTAGGTTGAGCAGTTTAAGTGGCTTAACCCTATCAAATCACAACGGCTAGTATAATACCAGAATCAATAGTTGACACTGAGGCCAAAAAAATGATTAGCATAAGGCTAGAAACAAAGACTAACATAAGCTAAATTGATTTATCAGGTTTCACCACTTAAACAATGAAATATGATACTATGTCAGCGTAGAACAATTTAGATATGAGTCTACCATGACATTAGTTTGCAACATTAAGTCACCTATGAGATTAACCCGCTAACTATCCTCCAAATACTGCAACCCTCCGAAATAGGTTAGAGACTAAGTCTCCGACTATATACTTTACTCAGTTAGTCGCTTTATACATGTATGCCTCAATCTTACCCATACACGGATACAACATAGAACTTAGAGGAGACAACTGAAAAACAACTTACTGTCGCC